GGCCTCAGCCCAGCCCTAGCAGGCCCAGCGCCAGAGGGCCAGGGAGGAGGCTGAGCTCCCCTTCCCTCTGCCCCCTGCCTCCACTTACCATCTCATGGCAGAATTTGCCCTTGAGAGACATGGCTCCGTACTTGCTGTAACACGTCTCCCCGCTGTTCCCGGCCATCACTGCCATGTCGGTGCAGGTGACGCACAGCAGGCCTGCGAGGGGGGCATCGGGGGTGGGGTCAGTGGAGGAGTCTTCCCCCAGCTCTGGGCTTCACCTGCTCCAGCCTGGATGGGTCTCAGCCCAGGGGTCTGAGGTGGAGGAGGGGAGTCATCTGCTCTGGGAAAGCCGGGAACAGAAGCCAGGAGGCCGGATTCCTCGCTGCCCTGCTCTAACGCTCCAGCTCCTACGCCCTGGAGCAGCGGTTCCCAAATTTTTCGGCATCATGCCCCCTTTTTGATTTTTGACAAACTCTCACCTCCCCACCCCCAAAAGCCAAGCATAGCAGCAAACTTGTAGAGAAAAAAAAAAGTTGCCCTTTTAAGAGCAGAGCAGACATTGCCCTTTTAAGGCGGCCATTTTGAAGTCTGCCTGGGGTGCTCCATCCTCCGCCCCCCCATCCCCACTCCCAGCCAACCTGAGTTGCACGTGTTCCAGGGGACACCCGAGCTAGGAAAAACAGAAAATACCGGACGGACCGGGCTCTTTCTTGGGGGGGCTGGGTCGCCTTGCGCCCCTCCTGGAATTTCTTCATGCCCCCCCAGGGGGGCACGCCCCCCCAATTTGGGAACCTATAGCAAAGGGAAGGGATCAGCAAGCAGCTGGCGCATGCCCCAAGGCACTGCTGCAGGGAAGCTCGCAGTGCCACGGCCCCCTCGCTCACCGCCATCGCTCACGGCCTGCACGGCGGCGTCCAGGAAGGTGGCCGGGCTGCCATACTCATGCCCCCTTTTTGATTTTTGACAAACTCTCACCTCCCCACCCCCAAAAGCCAAGCATAGCAGCAAACTTGTAGAGAAAAAAAAAAGTTGCCCTTTTAAGAGCAGAGCAGACATTGCCCTTTTAAGGCGGCCATTTTGAAGTCTGCCTGGGGTGCTCCATCCTCCGCCCCCCCATCCCCACTCCCAGCCAACCTGAGTTGCACGTGTTCCAGGGGACACCCGAGCTAGGAAAAACAGAAAATACCGGACGGACCGGGCTCTTTCTTGGGGGGGCTGGGTCGCCTTGCGCCCCTCCTGGAATTTCTTCATGCCCCCCCAGAGGGGGCAGGCCCCCCCAATTTGGGAACCTATAGCAAAGGGAAGGGATCAGCAAGCAGCTGGCGCATGCCCCAAGGCACTGCTGCAGGGAAGCTCGCAGCACCACGGCCCCCTCGCTCACCGCCATCGCTCACGGCCTGCACGGCGGCGTCCAGGAAGGTGGCCGGGCTGCCATACGGGTCCAGGTCGATGATATCGAACGGCTCCTTCTTCGCTTTCTGCTCATACATCAGCATCCTGCGGGCAGGCCGGGGAGGCACTGAGAGGCAGCCTGAGGGACCTTGGGGGGCTCAGCCCCCCGCCAGAGAGAGGGGGCTCTGTCTTGTGACTGCGG